CTCTCTTAGGAACTGTTTATTGTTGGACTTGTGTAGTATCCACCTGTTTGTAGCAACATGAACTTAAGATAAGTTTTCTCTCTGCAGACTGGCCAAAGTCCCAATATTCTGTGAAACATAACATTTATTTCAGCCCCTTACTGTGGAAATATCAGCTAGTACAGATAAATAATGAGGGTAGAATGGCCTGAAAGAAACATGGATAAAGATGTTGAAACTCAGGTTTCTGATGGAAAATTAAATTCAGGAGTGCCAACTCTTTTTTATTTGTTCCTTTGTCTTTAGCTTCAGTTTGAATCCAGATGGCCTTTGATAGGATTTCAGGTTGATCCCCAAGGCCCCAAACTAACCACCTGGTTGCTTGTATCCTGGCTAGTTGGCACACTTTGATGAAATTGTCTTGTTCTGGCAGGGGAAAGGTTTAAAACGGTACATCATCTATTGGGAAAGAGATCATGGTCAACGCTCAGTGATAGGGATGGGATCTCTGAACCCACCCACCCACTCACCAACCAAAGCAGATTTCTTGCATACAGTGTGATCCATGTTCCATTTTTTTCCATTGCAACTTGCTTGCTTCTTTACTTAAATAATGCAAGGCTGTGATAGTCAAAACTGGGGCTGCAATAAGAGGAAGTAACAATTACATTAGATTAGATAACCTTTATTGTCATTTTCTTTCCTGTGGGCAGAACAGCACACGTTAAAAATGAAATCTAGTTGCTTGCTCTCAAAGGGTACATATACATAACACACATTTAAAACATGCTATATACAACTTATGTATAGACCTGCACCCTTAGATATAATTAGGTTTTGAAGACGGGACCTTATTTTGAGATGCATTGAGTGCATTGAGTGGGTTTTCTTCTTTTATGAGGGGGTCTTTGGTGCTCTCTGAGCTTGTTTTCTTGCAGATGTTTCATTACCCAAACTAGCTAACATCATCCGTGCTAGTTTGCTCTGAGTTTAGATTCTGGTGGGTTGCCCTATCAGTGTTTGCAAGAGTCATCTTGAGGAGGGGGGGTGATTAGGCTGTTTACTGTTGGCTTGTTTGGCAGTTCCTTGATTGGGATATTGTTTATTTGATTGTTGGTCTGATGTTAAACTTGGAGTTAATCCATCTTCATCTGGGTGCTGATTGCTGTTGGGGAGGTGTTTAGATCTTTTTGTTCCCTTTTCTTCTTCTAAGAAAGGTTCTTTTGTATTGGTGCTCTGCATCTTGATCTGTGGTATATGTAAACCAAAATGAACTATTTAATCTAAATTGCATTAAAAGATATCAATGTTGTACATCAGCAGGAATGTCAACGAATGAGATTGGAGTTTAATTCTTAAATCAAAGAATAAGGCTTGGGACAATGTTTTGTTGTAGGGGAGTCACCTCTAAGTTGAGTGGCCATATACATTTGTATAATGAAATAAATAAGGTTCCAATTCATACTCATTTTTCCCTTCACAGAGAAGAGCTGTTATAGCTTTAGACTCTGCACCTCTTGAGTGAAACAAAATCTGATTTTCTCTTTCTTGACCTTTTCAAAATTTGCTCCTTTCCACCAAACTATGGGACCACTCCTTACATTCATCACACAACCTCTATTTTATGAGCTTTCTGGTCACAGTTGTTAAATAAATCACCACAGTTGCTAAGTTATTGTCAATCCAGGTCTACCGGTATCAACATTTCAAGTTCTGAAATAAAGGCCTGAAAGAGGAAGATGGATGGGAATATTTTGCAAATTCAGAAAGTGAATAACCTCGGTTTTGCTTTACTTAAAACAAAATTCTGCATCTCCCTAATGAGATCTATTTGAAGAATCAAATCAGAAGGGCGGGGCCACTTTTTCTGGCAAATTCTCTCTCCATCAACTCCCATGAACAGTATGGAGCAGTGATTTTCAAACTTGGCAACTTTCAGAGGTTTGGACAAACTTCCAGAATGTTCCACCCAATGGAGAATTCTGGGAGTTGAAGACCACCCATCTTTAAGTTGCCAAGTGTAGAAAAGCGCAGGGGTAGAGTAATGTCTAGAAGCCCTCAGGTCCACTAGAGGATAGATCTACACCATCTTCATTATCTTGTCTTTATCTTTCCCTACAGAACCTCCCAAAGCCCCCAGTGTGTTCCCATTGAGTCCTAGTGGCCAAAATGGAGGGGCAACTTCCCCTCCCTCTGAAATCTCCATCGGTTGTCTCATCAAAACCTACTTTCCTGGACCAGCCACAGTGCAATGGAATTCAGGCGCC